TGCAGCTTTGTGTTTAGCATCTGGAGCTCTTGGTGGTACCTTCTGGGTCTCTGTAACTAGCAGACCCTCTAGTTATACTGCCTGCAACAGATGTAATCTCTGTCATGGGCCAGCTGTACACTGTGCCTGTACCTTTCCTCAGCAGATGTCCCACGGTCCTAGCACCTCCAACTTCCTAGGGTCTCCATTACAACTTAGGCTTCATCTCTCTAGCTTCATGCAGTGGCTTCTCAGGACCTCCTTGCAAGGAATCTGACCCTTACAGACACTTCCTGACCTCAGTGGCTTTCTATAGAACCTTGGTATAAGCTTCCATGACCCTGTCGCTTACACTTTCTGTGATGGCAAAACCTGTACCATCTGGAGAGTGCTGCTGAGTTCTGCTGTGAGCCTGAGATGTGCTGTCCCACAGGTGTCATGGCTTCTGTGCACCTTGGTATGTGAACCTGGGAAAATAGTTCCTTAGGTGATTGGTTTGAGCAGCAAACCACTTTAGTGATAATCTTAGTTCACTCCTTTCAAATGTATTTGCATTTTTACAAGTGGAAGCCTTCAGTGGGTGGTTGTTGTCCTCTAGGCACCTCCCCAATTGTCCCAGCACAGTCTTTAACTGTTATAGCTATTCTCTGCACCTACCTTCTCTGCAACTTTAAATTTGCTCTCACTTCTTTCCTCACCTAACTGCACATTTTTCATCTTTCTGCTCTCTTACTAAGAGCAGTGAGCAGTCACCACAGCATGAATACTCTGCTATCTTGAAAATCCCTCCACCAAACAACTTAATCTGTTACTTTTGAGTTCAGCTTCACTCAGATTCTCAGGACTGGCAGAATGCAGCCAGACTCTTTGCCAGAATATAATATGAATGGTCTCTAGTGCAGTTCCCAATAGAGTCCTGTTCCCCTCTGAAACCTTAGGAGCACAGTCCTTACTGTCTACATTTCTGTTGGCATTCTCATCTTCCAGACTCCCACCAGAATGACCCATTAAGCTCTACTCACAAGATTCTAGGGCCTCTCCAGCCAGCATCTCCAAACTCTTCCACAGTCTTCCTGCAAGCCAGTTTCAAAGGCCAATAAACCACATGGTTGGGTTTATCACAGCAATTATTCCACTTCTTTTTTTCTCTTTATTTTATTTTTTGATGTATTTATTTTTATTTCATGTGTATGGATGTTTTGCCTGCAGTTATGCACCTGTGTGTCAGATCCCCTGAAACTGGAGTTATAGCTGGTTATTAGCTGCCACATGGGTCCTAGGAGCCAAACCCAGGTCCTCTGCAAGAGGTGCTCTGAGCTAGGTCTCCAGCACCTTATCCCACTTTTTGATACTAGTTTTCTGTTCTAGTTACCTTTTGTTATTGCTACAACAGAATACCTGGCGAAAGTAACTTCAGGAAGGATTTATTTTGGATCACAATATGAGGGGTATGGTCCACCATAGCAGGAAAAGCATGGTGATGGGAACTTGGGATAAATGATCAAACTGCATCTGTAGTTCAGAAGCAAAGAGATCAATGCCAGTGCTCATCAGGCTTTCCTGTTCTTTTTTCCCTTTATTTAATCTGGGTACCCAATCCATGGAATGGTGCCACTCACTCAGGGTGAGTCTTCCCTCTTCAGTTAAGCCGCTTGGAAATGCCTTTTAGGCATGGCCAGAACTGTGTCTCATAGGTGATTCCAAATGTAGTCAAGCTGACAATGAAGATTAACAGTTACAGTGTGTACATACAACCCAAGTACATGCACAGATCTACAGATAGTTTCATTTGTTACATCTGTATTTATACTAAACTAAACATGAGCTCATGATAATGACTTTAGCTCTACCCTAGTACCTTATAACAGTGTGCTTTCTCTCCTTACTTGTCCCTGCCCTCCCACTCCAGCATGTGAAACCTGGCTTCTGTTACCATCTGTTTACTAATCGTTGCTTTCCAGTTTGCTTGTACAGTGGTTTCAGAACTGTTGTGCCTTTCTCAACTAGCACACAGAACTAATTATATTGTCTTTAGTCTTGTAGACTATACTATCCAGAGTGACAGGTTGGCACCTTTTTCCAAATTACTTTTTAATTCTCTGAATATTACTTATACCTTCATACCTTTTTTCTTTCTCCATCCTTTTCTTCCTTCATTCCTTCCTTCCTTCCTTCCTTCCTTCCTTCCTTCCATTGTAAATAGTTTATCAAATTTTAAAATGGGACTACTTTCTGGTATTCTTCCTCAACTTTATTTTTAATCATTTTATTAACACTTTTTAAATTGCATTTAGTGTGCATGTATGCATATGCATGCCAGAGCCACATATGTGGAAGTCAGAGAACAACTTATAGAAGTTAGTTCTTTCCTTCTACCAATGTGGGTCCCAGGGATGGAACTTAGGTTGTCAGGCATGGCAGCAGGCACCTTTAGCCCCTGAGCCATCTTTCTAGGTCCTTGGATATCTCTACACATTCTTTTTTTTCTTTTTCCATTTTCATGTGTGCATATTTGTGCATGTCTACATGTGTGTGAGCACACGTGTGGGTGTCTGTGTATGTAGGTATGCATGTATGCAAAGGCCCAAGGTTGATGTTGGGAATCATCTTCAATCACTTTTCCACCATACTCAATGAGTCAGGGTCTCTCAATCAAATCCAGAGCTCACTGATATGGTTAGTCTCTCTAGCCAGCTTGCTATGGGGATCTTCCTGCCTCCACCTTCTGAAGAAAGCTAAAATCACAGGTAAGCCACCATGCCCACCCATTTAAGTGGTTCTCAGAATTTGAACTGCTGCCTTCATACTTACCTGGCAAGCATTTTAACTGCTGAGCCATTGCCCCAGCCTCCCACTCATTCTGTGCCCAACACAAATATCACCTGTATCAGGCAGTTCTCTGAGACACTGAAAGTAACGTCACTCATTCTGTGCTTTAATACTGCATTTTATTTGCCTATGTTATACTTTGCTTTTGCTATATATTGTCTATAATTCTATGGGATTGTGTTGTATTCTCTATAATTCCATGAGATTCTGTTTTACTATATATTGTCTATAGTTCTATGAGATTCTGTTTTACTATACATTGTCTATAATTCTGTGGGATTCTGTTTTACTATATATTATCTATAATTCTGTGGGATTCTGTTTTACTATAAATTGTCTATAATTCTATGGGATTCTGTTTTACTATATATTGTCTATAATTTTCATTATATATCCTAAACCGGCCTGGAACATATTTCTTTTTTTTTTAAATGTGTATGCATGTATTGCCTGCAAGTGTGCAAGTGCACCTGTGTCATGCAATGCCTGTGGAGGACAGAAGAGGCTGTCAGATCCCCTGGAACTGGAGTTACGGACAGTTGTTAGCTGCCCTGTGGGTGCTGGGATTCGAACCTGGGTCTTCCGCAAGAACAGCCAGTGTTCTTAACCGCTGAGCCATCTCTCCAGCCCCCTTGAGCATATTTCTTAGGCTGGCCTTAAACTTGAAATCTTCCTGCTCAGCTTCTAAGTGCTGGGATTATGGGTATAAACCACCATGCCTGATAGTTATAGCTCTTTTTTTTTTTTTTTTTTTTTTTGAGACAGAGTCTTCCTGCTCCAGCTGTCCTGGAGCTCACTATGTAGACCAGGCTGGCCTTGAACTCACAGATATCTACCTGCCTCTGCCTCCCAAGTGCTGAGACTACAGGCATGCACCACCACACCTGGCTTAGTTATAGTTCTTTAGAATACATTTTCTTTAAAATAGATTTATACAGTGCTATAACCTCTACCTGTGTAAATCTGATGTCCTTTTAAATTTGTGGTAATATATTTATCTAGATAATTTTACTCATTGGTTATTATTTATTCAAAAATGTAATATCTAATATCCAGTTATGATTTTCACTCTCGGTTGAAGCAGCCTTATTGATAAGGGCAGTCTAAACTTGGCTGAGTAAGTCATGCGTATGTGTACAAGTGTCTCCTGCCACCTAGTATATCTAGAGACAGAAATCTCTATAATGAATAGGAAAGCAAAGATCTCAGTATGGGCAGAATTCCATTTATCTTACCCATGTGAACTTTTTACCACACTTGTAATGATGGATAATGCATATGGCATGAATATGACTTAGTACCATTTATCAGCCCATCAAAGTGGTCAATACCTCCAAATGGTACCATAGTATAGACACGTAAAAATGCCAGCTGGATGAGGAAAACCAATTTTATTCTTGTCTAGCAAAAGGTATTGGAAGGTTCTCCCGGCATGATTAAAATAATAAATCCTTCAGATATTTTTGATTGAGATGGTTTTAGGAATGGCTTTTCTGAAATCTCTAAGTTATTCCCTTACTTCCAAGTCCTCGAAGTCTCCCTTGTGTGAGGGAAGGCATGGTACAGCCACCTCTCAAGACAGGCCTGGAGAGCAAACTCCAAGCATGAATCTCTCATTTTGAAGCTGCAGAGTGGCTGATGTCATGGCATGATCAAAGTGCTCTGCAAGTACTTACTGTAATTATTGTTGTTATTCTGTTCTTGCTAATAACCTTATTTATTACCCCGAAATTATAATCATGCAAAGAAAGATTAAAACAAGATGTGCGAGTTGCCCAAGCTGTTTACCTCACAGATGGTCACCCTCAGAGTTCTCTGAAATTGCCAGGATTAATTGAAGCTTCAGTTTTCCCCTCCTGTAGTTGATACTTAAGTGTTTCTTACCTGTAGGCTTTCACTCTCCCAAATGATACAACAATAGCACTTTAATTCGCTCTCATTAATGCTACCCTCTCAGGTAGTGTTTAATGCAGCTTTATCTAGATGATGTTTGCTCCTCTGAATGAAACCTTTGTACTAGCTTCCCAGCTGAGGAGAAAGCTGAACAGTTAGGAAGGGAAAAATATGAATGTCTCTGTAATTTGTTTATTTAAAAGGCTAGGAACTCAAGAAACAGTGAAGGAGAAGAAACTTTTAAGTGGTGGGCAGGCATTTAGCATATGATTAACAAGTTTGTCTCCTGTGGGCTTCAGGGAGCTGAGACAACTGGGAATCATTCTTGGAGACGTCTTAACAAATAAGTTTTTGCCTGGAGCCAGCAGAGTGCTGCAAGGATAATGGTTAGTTTCCCGCACACCTTATTTCTTGGTCTGTTTGCTTGGTGCTCCTTTATTAGTATTGAAGTCTAAGTATGCTAGCAATCAAGCTAAAAAGCAAGGGGAATAAGACTGTCTTCTTGCCTCCACCCATAAGCTAGGCAGAAGCAGCCCAATGGAAGGACTGGGTGTTAAAATGTTTATTTTTATGATGCAAGAGCCCTTTGCCTGTGTCTTGAGGTTTGAGCACTGCAAAGAAAATGACTATACTCTCTTCATCCGGGACTGGGGACTCCCAGTGGCATTGCTGTTTGATGAAGACCCAAGAGAAGACACAGTACTGAGAGAGGAGGATGAGGGAGAGAAGGAATTCTGGGGCTCTTTAAATCAGTTGCAACAAATTAGCAACTCAGAAAAATCCTGAGACTCAGAACTTGGTTCCTTTTTGTATATTGTGTATATCCATGTGAATAACAAAACTGTCCAACAGAAAGAAAAGACAGGTAGGGGGAGAGGGAAGGAGGAGGGAAGGAGGAAGGGGAAGGCAAATCATGGCCTCTACAGGGGATAGTTCTGAGAAACATGCCAATAAATTATTTTGTTATTCTATGCTTATTATAGAATGTCTTTACACAAATGTAGATGGCATAGCCTCCTGCACACCCAAGCCATACAGCATAGTCTGTTGTTCCTAGATGATAAACCTGTACAGAATGTTACTACAGTGCTACCAGAGGCAGTCATTACACAACAGTATTTGTCCATCTAAGTATAGAAAAGGTATGGTAAAAATAGCAGGTGATAGGAAATTGTTTCCATTATAATCTTCTTTTCCCACTATAATCTTTTGCTATTTTTATTTTTTGTGTATGAATGCTTTGCCTGGTTGTAGGTAAGTGTACCACATGTATGTAGTGCCCATAGAGGCCAGAAGAGGGTATCAGATCCCCTGGAACTGGAATTTTGGATTTGTCAGCTGCCATGCAGATGCTGGGAATTGAGCCTGGGTCCTCTAGTGCTCTTAACTGCTACTTCATCTGTCCAGCCTCACCCCCAACTATAATCTTATGGAACTACTATGATGCATGCAGTCTGTCTTTAACCAAAATATTGTTATGCAGCTCACGGCTGTATCAGCCTTGACTATTAAAGTCTACCAAGAAATACCTAGAAAACTCTTCCCCAGGCTCTCCCTTTTTAGATAGCCTCAAGTTTTAGTCCTAGCAAATTCTTTATAATCTAAAACTTTAATGGGAGGAACTGTCAGTGGGAAAATTGCAATGCAATGATGTGGCCAGTATTCAGACCTTTATTTCACACAGATTACTTTTCCAGTGGTGCTGGCCTCTTAAGCTGAAAAGTGTTCTTTTCTGCTCTAGGGTTGGGTATTGTTTTGGGGGTTTTTTGTTTTGTTATGTTTTTTTCCTTAAAATGTTCCATATTTACTAGTGAGGACATTTGGGCCTGCAGCTTTCTTTGTAGGAAAGTTGCTTGTTGTTCATTGTAGTAAAATAGACATAAAATTTACCACTTAGTCCTTCCTAATAATATA